GAGGAATAAGTGAGGTCATTGTTTTAAAACCTTTCTTCTTTTCTAATACAGGCATTGAATGCTATAAATTTGCCCCTACTGAGACTTGTTTTATGGCCCAGAATATCCTGGTAAAATGTTTCATGTGCTCTTGAACAGAATGTGTAGGACTGGACTGTGGGACATAAAACGATATTTGTGAAGAGTGTGCTTCTTAGCTCAAGTAGATACATGAGACTAAATGGGCAGCTTCTGTCCAGAGGTGAGATGAGAAGGCAGAGAGGGTCAGGAGCTGGTTGAATGGACATGGGAAATCAGGGGTGGAAAGGAGGAGTGTGCTGTCACAGCATAGGGAAAGCAATTAGGATCGCATGACAATGTATAAATTTTTGTATAAGAGATTAACTTGAAATGTAAACTTTCACTTGAACTACAACAATAAACAAAAAATTTAAAAATTTTAACAAAAAAAGAATGTGTATTCTGCTGTTTTGGGGCAGGATGTTCTGTTAAATGCCAATTTGGTAAAAATGGTTGATAGAGTTGCACACATCTCCTATAGCCTTACTAATTTTGTCTACTTGTCCTATTGATTATTGAGAGAGTATTGACACCATTGCTATAATTGTGGATTTGTCTATCAGTTTCTGCTGTTCTCTGGCACTCTCTCTCTGCAGATTCCTTCTCTGGAAATCTGTCCTGCAAAATGTAGCCACCTTGACCTCCCCAAACTCAATCTCTGCCTCCCCATTTCAGCAATATTACTTGGTTTTCCCCTCCCTGAGACTCTGCTGGGAACTTCAAGCAGTAAGCTTGTTCAGTCACCTTGTTCACTTGTCTCAGAGACTATAGCCCTGTGCTGTCTGTTGTCCAATGTCTGAAAAACATTGTTTCATATATTTTCTCCCCTGGTTTTCTGAGGTAAGAGAGTAAACTCAGTTCCTATTACTCCATTCGACTGGAAGCAGAAGTCCACATATTTAATTTTAAATTTAAAAATGACGTCTTCCTCAATGATGTTAACGTTAATTCACACACACAAAGGGTGGACGAAGGATGAGCTTATGAAAGACTGGCTAGACATCATCTTCAGGAGATATTTTAGAGTCCTATAGAGTCCTGTATAACCACTGGAGCCCTGGTGGAGCAGTGGTTAAGAGCGCAGCTGCTAACCAAAAGGTCGGCAGTTCAAATCCACCAGCCACTCCTTGGAAACCCTATCGGTCAGTTCCACTGTATCCTGTAGGGTCAATATGAGTCAGAGTCAACTCTACAGCAGTGGGATCTACAACTACTAGGAGCCCTGGTAGTGCAGTAGTTAAAGTGCTCAGCTGCTAACTGAAAGGTTGGTGGTTTGAACCCACCAGCCACTCTGTGGAAGAAAAGACCTGGTGATCTGCTTCCATAAAAATCATAGCCTAGGAAGCCCTATGGGGCAGTCCTACTCTGTCATATAGGGTTGCTACAAGTTGGAATTGACTCAACAGCACACAACAACAACATACTTTTGATGGCACACAGGACAGTAATTATCCAATTGGTGTCATTATTGAGTATCATCTCAGATCCTCAATCAGAGCTACATTAGGGTTGGAAAATTGCTGCTGGTGGGTTTTCACCTCTGAGTAACTTGGGACTAGACTCTGAGTAAGGACAACATGCTCAAAGGGAAGCAAACTGAACCTTTAAACATGACAGAGCTCTGGGTTGCTCAGAAGGCAGCTCTGTGGAGGAGCGTGCCTCTGGAGTCTAAGAGAATTCACATATAGATTTAAGGGTTCATAAAATTGTTAGTTCGTATTTCGACTTAGACTTCCCTTCTGTCATTCCAAGTGTCTAGTTGTAGGTTATTCTGGCTAAAGACAGACGGCTTAAAAACTCTTTTCATAAAGGCCCTTTGTCATGGATTGAATTGTGACCCCCAAAACTATCCATCAACTTGGCTGGGTCATGATTCCCAGTATTGTATGATTGTGTACCATTTTGTAATCTGATGTGATTTCCTTATGTGTTGTAAATTCAACCACTATAATGTAGTAAGATTGATTAGCAGCAGTTATGTTGATGAGGTCAACAAGATTAGATAGTGTTTTAAGCCAATCTCTGTTGAGATATAAAAGACAGAAA